TCTGCTCAGACGAAGACGGTTGCCCAAAATACTTATCACCCTTATCAGCAATAACAATATGAAGCATAAAGAAAGATAACCACACAATCACCAAAACCACCATCTTCCTCCTCACTTAACAACAGTGGCTCCTCCTCTATTATGAAGGTTATGAAAAGGGAAAATATGGAAGCGTTTTTTTCTCTTAATTGAGGTGGAGACTGTGGAGGGGTTTTTATATTAGTGAGAGGAGAAAGAGTCAAAAGACAACAGTGTGGTTGTTGAAGGCACGAGTGAGGAAAAGGTGGGGTTAGTGGGGAATTGTGGAGTTTTTGGTGGAAGTTAGGTGGCAATATTGACTTTTTTCAACAAAATATCCAACAGTCCCCCCAAAAGGTAATATTGATCGAATACTCAAAAAACAATAAATAAATCAATAAATCACAAAACAAATATAGGTTGTGCAACCTTTCGTATCGTGAATTCGGGAGAGGTAACTTTCAGCTTTGAACCTTTCCTTAGTGAGTTCATCGCCACCTGAGGGACATAATGGACTAGGCCTTGAATTAGGCCCCTTGTACCAGGTATTGACGAAAACACACACAATATGTCTTCATCTATTGAGCAAAATGGGTTGAGCGTTAAAGGTCATGCTCATAATAACCGACTCATGAGAATTTCTAGGGGTTAGCCCAGCCCCCCAACCACGGCCATCACGATTCCTCTCATGTAGATAAGTCCTCCAAGGATACTTCAACCGTATATCATACCCTCCGTAATACACGCGTTGGACTTATTAAGAGTAAAACTCATCCTAACCAGTTGTATCATAAGAGCATCGTCACCATAGAGAAGGGGTAGTAGCATATGCTACCATAATGATATATAAATATATCTAAGTCGATGCTCCACACGAGTGTCACTAGTCTAGCTTGTTACTACCATATTGAACCTATATTGGGACTGCGTCTCCAAATAAAGGTTTTGTTACCACTATCAGTGACCTCACTTATGGGCTTAACCCCATCTGCCTCGATGAATCTAGAACCACACTCCTAGATAGACCTTTAGTCAATGGATCATCAAATTCTTCTCAGGCTTTATAAAGTCTAGAATCACAATTTTGCCTAGCATGCGATGATATATATTTTTCAAGTCCTTATGTTATTTTATAATTAGTCCTTCATATTGTTTGAAATTGACATTAGGTCCCCTTCTTGTTAAGTTATTTTAAAAATTAGCATCTCTAGGTAAGAGTACAAGTAGCAAGAGGAGGGATTAATTTGAAACAACTTATAAGGATAAGGGAACCTAACAACAATTTTTAATTATTTGATGGACTAATTTTAATATAACTTTTATTCATCATATAGATAGAAGTTATAAGATATACCTCTTGATATGATTTTTCAAGACATTGATTCATCACATCTCCTGTAACGAGGCATATTAGTTGACAAAGCATATTTATATCAACTCTAATTATTTCCTAAAATCTCAAGAGAAAGCATTATACATGTAGTCAAATGAAGAACTATACAATGATTCTTCCTAGTCACTATTAAAATAATAGAACATTAAAATATGTTTAGTATAGTTATTGATGTCTCTTATCAAGAAACAATGGATTATAATAATTTGACATTATCATTTTAAATGTCTAAGGTTTTAAACAAGATTTGATATGCGCTCATGTCAAGTAGAAATTGTAATTATCAAGGAAGAAATAGAAAGCAAAAGCACAAAGGGTTTGTGCATATTGGAATTTGGTCCTTAACTTCTGAACATTTCAAACTAATGTGGAACTAAAATACAGTTGATATGCATGCATATACACATACATGAATAAAATTACTAATACTTATATGCAAAGCATTCGAGAGAACCTTATAATTGGATTTCGTATCTTAAAGAATATTTCATACTTCATATATATATATATATATAAAGAGTCATTCCAAATTTAAATTGGTTGCCTACAAAAGAGACCTTCCAAATTTACGTGGCCATTTTCTAGCCACCTCTTAAACATATCATTTTGATATTTGAAATATTTTTTATTTTTTATACACACGTGCTTTAAATTTTAATAAGTGCATTCTTGCATAAATCCTTGTAATTAATCATGTAACAAATGCAAGTGATCTAATATGACATATGAACATTTATTGTAATATCCATCATAATGCAATAAAAGAGATAATCTTTACTTTTGAAGATTAAAAAAATAATTCACCATATAAAATAGAATTTAAAAGATGCATAGCTTGCAAGATGATATTAGAGATCTAGCTGTCCATGTTTTCCTATAACTGAAATCATATTATATGATGATCTTTCCAGGTAACTGATTGTTTTTTTTAAATATTAATACTTTGTATCAATAGTTAGCATTTTACTCTTTGAACTTCAATATCTGGACACCAATAATCGTATATCAAGATAGGGACCCAGACTAAAACCCCACTAGACAAATTTAATAAACAACATTAGAGGATTGTGAAGTCCAGCCAGAATATCCATCTAATTTTCCACAGAAGGCACGTCAAAAATTTAACTACAAGTTAGCAAAGAGATGCAATTACCTCCAGTCCTAGAAAATTCACTGATGATGAGTGATAAGAGGCTATTTTTTCCCAATTGAACTTGGCATGCAACGTTTTGATACACTTAACATTCACATGGCCCTTAACCATTTGAGATTAATTATCATCATAATTATCAATCATCCAAGTTTCTCATCAAAACAAGGCTCTACTGGCAAGTAGACGATTAAAATCCCTTGGATATGAGCCTAGAAGCAAAATGACATGTTATGCTCGAATCTAGCAGAGGATGAGAAAGAGGCACAAAGGCTTTTGGAAGAAACACATGCGTTGCATAGCAAGCTAGATTAATTACTAGTCAAGAACAATTAATAGCAATTAATCAATTATAATAACTAATTAATTTTAGTAATTAATTACAGTAATTAAATCAGATTAACAGTAATAGTAATCTCAAATTAATTTTTCCGATGAACACTAATGAATAGTTTCAGCAAATCTCACGGATGAAAACGCTTTAATGAACAGTAACTGTATTTTTCCGAGTGAACAATAAGAGTTGATAAATAGTAATTTTAAAATTTTTTCTATTTTAAAAATTAACAACTATATCCTCAATCTTCTAGATTGTTGGAAAAATATCAAATAAAGTTATAGCATGCAGATAAATCCGAATAAAATAAACAATAAAATCTGGCCTGAACGAGATGCAGTCGTGCAAGAACTACCCTAGAAGATTGAGGACTCGCCTATCGCCCTGGCGTAATCGGTCCCCTCCCCCTAGCGGTAAAAACCTCTGGATGTTCTGTACTTGGACGAGAGTGCAGAGTATCTGCTCAGACGAAGACGGTTGCCCAAAATACTTATCGCCCTTATCAGCAATAACAATATGAAGCATAAAGAAAAACAACCACACAATCACCAAAACCACCATCTTCCTCCTCACTTAACAACAGTGGCTCCTCCTCTATTATGAAGGTTACGAAAAGGGAAAAGGTGGAAGCATTTTTCTCTCTTAATTGAGGTGGAGACTGTGGAGGGGTTTTTATATTAGTGAGAGGAGAAAGAGTCAAAAGACAACAGTGTGGTTGTTGAAGGCACGAGTGAGGGAAAGGTGGGGTTAGTGGGGAATTGTGAAGTTTTTGGTGGAAGTTAGGTGGCAATATTGACTTTTTCCAACAAAATATCCAACATACTTGCCATTAGAGACAGTATGATTTTGCTCTGGCCTAGTTCCATCATTTTTGCTAAGAATTTGGAAAACAACCTAGCAGAACTTATTAGAGTATCCTTGCTGATCAATGGATTTCTGATAATAACATACTACATGCAGATGTCAATTAAAAGGAGTTTCTCTTCATTTGCAATAATTTGAATGCACATTCCACTGTTCATGGTTATGAATTGGTAATGAGAACTATACCAGTATCATGTGGCTGAAGACGTTGTGACGATTAAAGAATCCTCCCACCAAGAACAGAAGACTGCCCATTAGGAAAGGAATCTGAACACTCTTCTGAAGAATCTGAACATGGCTGTTCGATCTCTCATAGAATTGACACAGGTTGTGGATAGAGCCTATTACCCAGAGCACCGGCCCAACGATCAGCAAATTCAGGGCATGTTTCTCTAGCCTATAGCTATATCCCTTCTCCATCTGCTTTCATTTCACCATAATGTATTAGCTCTTAACAAAGTAAACAAACAATCTTGTTTTCTTGATTTGGGTTTTAAAAAGAAAATATGTAATCTACAAGAGTTTGATAGGTTGCTAAAATTTTGTAATTATGGTGTGAGGACACTTGTTAAGGTAATTACGTCTGAGTAAAGGCCCACATTGAAAAGGATCAGAGAGAGTGGTGAGTTTAAGTGGAAGTTTGGCCAAAGTCTGACTTGATTCCTAGCTCCATTTAAGACCCATTAACTCCCAATAAGCTTTTGGGTTTCCTAGAATTTATCTAAGGTCCATTAACCCTCTGTTGGGCCTAAAAAATCCACGTAAGGGGCTGTTTGGTTGTTGTCGGTAAAGTTGTGTATTTATGACACAGCTTGGAAAGTTATTGTCCACCTCATCAATTTTACTTTTATACTTTTCTTTGTTTGTTTTTTATTCCATTGGAATCATAAAAAACTTGTTTGGTTTGCAAAATAAAACTTTAATTGTTTGTTTGGAAAGTGTAAAAAGTGGTCCCTACTCAAATGATCATATTGGTTGGAATTATTTTTTATTATTTTTTCCTAACTTCAATGTTAGCTTTCTCCTAAAATCATGTCTTTTTTTCATGAAATCACTTTACAAGTCACATCAGCATATGAAATCACTTTACACTATTTTCACAACTACAAACAAACAATTGAAAGTGATGAAAGCTGACATTGGGACCCACTTTTTTACACTTTACATCCTTTTACATGGTAAAAACATACAACCAAACAGCCCCTAAGTGGCATCCGAGTCAAGTTGTGTGCCCAAGGAGAAAAATGAATTCCAATGTGAAGTCCGAAGATGCGAGGAGAATGACTAAGGTAATCCTTGGTATGACATGCTGGCTTAGACAAACAGTGAATGATCCATGGTTCCCATTGTGAGATTGAACTATATATACTCCTAGGTGAGGGTGAGGGTGGGGGTGTGAAAGTAGTGGAGAGACCACTACTTTTAATCTCAAGCGTTGATTATTTAGTAGGCGGTTATGATACAATCTAAATCTAACACTTACCATACCCCCGTGTATTGCACTCATTCCTAATTTGCACTAAAAGAAAAAATCATAACCATCAACTAGATAATCAATGGCTGTGATTATGTAGTGGTCCCTCCACTATTTTTTTTTGTAGTGGAGAGGATCCGAATCCGACAAATTTATGGCTTTAGGATGGCGCCTTGAAATGTGGGCTAAGCGTAAATGTTAATGTGGGCTAAGGTTAAATGTTTAGGTGCCCTTTGATTAATAATAAAGAAAGATGGGGCTTCCTGCAATTTCTGTTGTCTTCTCTATTTCCTTCAGGGGCCGGAGTCTTTTGGGGAGTAAAACCCCCCACAGATAGTAACTCAATATGCATAATTTTATGTACAATGTATCTTTTCAGAACAAATATACGTACACAACATTTTATTTCTGAATGGATTCCTTGAACTGTAGTGTTCGACAGAAAAATTGGATATCTACTAAAAATTTCATGACTTACATATTGTAAAATTTTTATGACTCTTATCTTGTGGTCACAATGCCAAATTCTGTCTCTAGCACATATTTTCATCAATTTAATTTTATAAAAACACTTTTGTACGTATTTAAGTTAAAATATAAAATTTCTAAAAGTTACCAAATAAATGATTAAGCACGATTTCTTAAGTCTAGGATCTTTATTGAAGAAGATTTAATCCGAGGTTCTTGATATTTGGAAGCAATATGAGGTTCTTGATATTTGGAAGCAATATTCATAGATCATTAAGAATTACTGGATATAATTCTGAAAACTATAGAAATTTCTAAATAAATCAACAAACATTAATTAGTTGGGGTCACCTGAATCAAAAGCAACGAAACCCCCACAAACTCCACCAAGGACCCAACAATCACAACCGAAGGCACCGCGAACTCCACAAGACCCAACTGCGGATCAAACCGCACCAGATCCACACAAAAATCAACCCCCACCAAATGCGCGACGAGATCGTGCCCGTTGACGGCCGCAACGAACACGATGCCGATGAGAATGATGTAGAGCGCAGGAGTTGGGGGAGTTGAGTGATACGTGGCTTCTTGCATGGTGATATAATTAATTGTAATTGCAAATTGGCACTATAAGGAGGATTCTAATATAATTCATTTAATAAATATTATTCATGATCTAGAATAAAAATTGGTTACTGGTGAGTTATAGACTTGTAGACATTCTCTGTAATTAAGAATATAAAGAATTAATCTTGTGAAGTTTTATGCTACCGCATCTAAGGTCGTAATTACTATTGTAGTTGTACAAATTTTATCAAAACATTTGCTATATAGAAATAAGATGTTCTGAATTATTTATGAAATTGGTAGGGATTAGTGACCTAAACCTCACAAATTCTACCAGATCTTTCATAGCAAAATATACTCCAAGGCGTTTGTGGAAAGGGTAGGAAAATAATTTGATGATTTCAACTGATTTCTTAGTTTTTTTTATTGCACTTCTTAATTTTTACAACTTTATGGTTAAAATTAAAATTACTAATATTTTTTTGAAATATCAACTTGCAATACGATTGAATTTGTAGAATAAAACCTCACGAATCAATCAAAAAAAAAAAAAAATTACAAGTAGTTTCATTAAAAGAAAAGGAAAAATTGCTTCTAGCCCCAAATTTTCTTATAAGTATTCTCTCCCTCCCCAATACTTTTTCAACACTCCCAAAACCCCCAAAAGCAAAGCCACAATTCTCTGAGCCCCCAAAACATAAAATCCAAGAGTTTAAAACATGTGAAGACCATAATATCCTTTCTCTCTCTTTTTTTCATGATGTCACTGTGATGATTTGAAATGGGTTTTGGAGGGAAAGATTCTAGTTCTCTCCAAAATTTTCCAACGGCATCGACATCAGTGATGGAACTTTCCCGGCGTTCGTTCATGAGGCAAAGAAAACTACGATCTTGAAGAAGGTGATGACGAGTTGCTATGGGTTCAACGTCACCATTCCGAAGAAAAAGGCGGGAACTCCGGCGACTCCCAGTGTAATTTTTTCCTTTTTTAACTTGTACTTAAATCTGAGTGCTATATTTTTTTGTTATTTTACATATTGTTGTAATTTTTTTTGAAATCGATAACTTGATATTAAAATAGAGTCTGTAAATTTATATATTGTTCTTATTTCATTGTAATGAGTTTGTTGTTAAAGTTATGAGTTGGTTGTGAATGAATGTTATGTGTTGGTTTTAAAGGTTACGAGTTGATTGTGAAGTTTACGAGTTGGTTGTGAAGATTACGAGTTAGTTGTGAAGGTTACTCGTTGGTTGTGAAGATTATGAGTTTGTTGTGAATGTTACGAGTTGTTTGTGAATGTTATGAGTTGGTTGTGAATCTCGGCAATGAGTTGATTGTGATGGTTGTTAACTAATATTCACAACCAACTCCTTACCGAGGTTCACAACTAACTCGTAACATTCACAAACTAATCGCAAACTTCACAACAACCTCATAACCTTCACAACCAACTCGTAACCTTGACAATCAACTCATAACCTTCAAAACCAACACGTAACTTTCCTTCACAACCAACTCATAACCTTAACAACAAACTCATTACAATGAAATAATAACAATATATAAATTTACAGACTCTACTTTAATCTCAAGTCATAGATTTAAAAAAATTACAACAATAAGTAAAATAATAAAAAAAATATAGTACTCAGATTCAAGTACAAGTTAAAAAAGGGAAATTATACCGGGAGTCGCCGAAGTTCCCGCCTTTTTCTTCGGAACGACGACGCTGAATCCATCACAACTCGTCATCACCATCTTCAAGATCGCAGTTTTCTTCGTCTCATGAATAAACACCGAGAAAGTTCCATCACCGATGTCGATGCTGTTGGAAAAATTTGGAGAGAACTAGAACCCTAACCCATGAAAAAAAGAGAGAGAAAGAGAAATGATATTATGGTCTTCACATGTTATAAACTCTTGAGTTTTGTGTTTTGGGGCTTAGAGAATTGTGGCTTTGCTTTTGGAAGTTTTAGGAGTGTTGAATAAATGGGGGCGAGGGGGGGGGAATACTGCGTAAAGATATTGGGGGTTAGAAGCAATTAATTAGGAGTAGCACATCTGACGTTCAATATACTACAAAGATCCCCATAAAAGATTTTACTCCCAATCTGGTCTACACTGGGCCAACTACTGAAGTTTCCTCATTTTTCTTAACTAGGAAAGCCCATCGATGTTCTGGAACCGAACCCTCTTCTCTAATACACAAGATTTTCTTTAAGAATTCCTCAAAAACTAGTCGTGAACACTGTGCAAAACACGACATATTATTTTTTTTCTGCTATAGTAATCCCAATTTTTAAATGCTACGGTAATTTTTTAGATTTTTTGGATTGTTATCGTTCCCGTCTCTGCTATAGTTTTTTTAAAAAAACAACAGTATTCATGCGTGCCACGGTAGTTTTTAAAATGCTGCAATATTCTTTCCATATTTGTTGCAATGAAAAATTCCTTTGGGACCCCAAATCATGGGACCCAAGGGGTGACAGGTGAGGTGTTAACCCCTGGTCCCTGTAGAATAACTCTGGTTGCAATAGCAATACTACAGTAAATACTGCAGTAGCATATAAATCTTGGATTCAATTCCGCGAGCTCTTCTCTTTTTATGAAAACCCCGAAAAGATAAAAATAAAAACATTCCGGTGCTTACACATCCTAAAATTCAATTTCACGCAGAACCCTAGAAAGCCGAGAGCAGTACGCAATGGAAATCTCAATGCAGCAGGATTGACCCCAGTCTCCCTCCAAAAGGCCCACAGCTTCAAATTCCCATTGAGAGAAGAGCGGAGCCCAAAAGAGATCTCAGTCTCCCTCCAAAAGGCCCACAGCTTCAAATTCCCATTGAGAGAAGAGCGGAGCCCAAAAGAGATCTTCCCTTTCAAAATCCGTAGAGGTATCAGTTCAAGCGTAGCTGCTCTCTTCTCTGTTCTTCATTCCCGAGCTCTGCATTGTTCATTTTGACAACTAAGCTAACTGTACCTGTTGTCTAAATTGAGGTTTTGATTCTTTGCTAGGGTCTTGGATTTGTTTAGTTACTCAAATTTGGTTCAACCTTGAAGGATTTTTAGTCAATTGCAACCTAAATTTTTTTCACTCTTTTGATATGTTGAAGTAGCACATAAGGGCAAGTCTATAGAAAATGCAGCGAGTATACTGAGCCAGTGCTCATCCAGAGAGTAAAAAGTAGTTCTTTGCTCAAAATGTTATACTGAAGCGAATTATTCATTTTGTGCTTATGTAGTGTTATATGATTGTGGAATATTGTAATAGTTGGCGCTAAGGAAAAATTTATATGCTGGTTATACCACTAGTAATGCATTATGTCTTACTATGTTGTGCAACATGTCCTGATCTAAGATGTAAGATGTCAATTATAAGATGTCGTCATTATAAATCAACTATCTCTGCACGAGGTTAGAGATACTTTGGGATGAGGTAAAGCTGGTTGAAGCGGTTCGGATATGTGCAATGAGCACTAACATATGCGCCAATTATAAGTTTTGGGTTTCCAATTAATGAACCAAGGACTAAGGGTACACCTAAACATGCATGAACCAATACATTTACGGAAGGCACAATGATGGTTCATAATCTGAACAAAGGAGAAAAAAAGGAAAGATATGACCATTAATAAAAAAGAAAGAGAAAAAAATTATGTAGGCAATCCTATGATCTAGAATGAAGGCTTTGTTGTGAAGTTCTAATACTATCCGTGTTTTAGTGAAATAAAATATACTTGCAGTTTTGATTAGGCGGTGTAAAAGAAGAAAGGGACGATGACATGATGACTATGCAGTTTGGCCAGATATACAAAATGATGGAGACCACAATGAAGAAGAAGAAAGTAACAATTACAGATATTTGTTTTAAAGTGTCAGTTTTATTTTAGAATCATTTAAAAACAAACCTCTTGAATAAATAAAAAAATGTTACAAGTACTA